GACGACGACGACGACTACTACTGGTGTCAAGGTTTCAGGGTGCAGGGCCATGGAGGGCAACCCGGGATCCCCAAACTCCCTCCCACACTGGGTTTAGGGTTCTAACTTTCGCAGAAAAGCAATAACAGTACCAATAACAAGACTAACAACAGCGGTCATAAGAATAGCACAATAGTAGTTATCATAATAAGCACCATCATAATCACAGCAATAATTTCATAAGAACCCGCAGTGCATACTGCGCCCAGACCGGGAGACCCCAAACCACTTCTCCCCCACGGCCCGTCCTCAATTTCCTGTGCTGCCATCGCAAGCAGCGGTTCTGCCTGCGTCATCTTGTCACCAATGCTTCCGAAATAGGGGGCGATGACCTCTGCTTCGAGGCGCTGTTGAGGGGGTGGGTGGTTCAGGGAATAGGGTTACGATTCCAGAGTTTAGTGTCTGCATTCTGTATGGTGGTTTGAACTCAGTACAAGTGAAGCCTCAGGCGTCCAAGCCGCATCATTGCGGAAACTCGTTTCACCTCATACCCCATCTAGAGGATGCCTCCACCCGTGCATAAGACGGCGCCAAGCTGCGACGATGTTGATGTCTTCCACGGCCGCCCGGCTCGGATTGCTAACGACATCAATAGTGCAGGTGCCATTCTTGTAGTATCCTCAGGTTGTGACCGAAGGACCATGGAGGACCCATAAAAACACCCAGCCGGAACCTTGCGAAGCCTGTTTCCCCCAGGACTGGGTTTGAGGCTGAGCACAGTCTGTTTCTCTGGCTTTTTGGTCCATCATGCAGGACTGCAAGAGGTCTGAGTAAACATCGGGAGGCAGCCTATGTGGCTAGGAGGCTCAACTCTTAAATCTTGCCATCGCATCGCAGAGGGCTTCGACTCTCTCGCTCGGCACTGGCAGGCAAGCAAGCACACAACCAGGCACTCCAAGGGTGCTGACCACTATCGCCCTCTCGCTCCGAGACTCGCAAAGTCCTCAAAACCCCCAAACCCTAAAATCTCCTGGACTAGATCACTCTAGTACCCTCTGTTCTAGAAACGAAGCACTAACTGCCGAGGCTAGGAAGTCAACGTCTGCATAACTTGCAAGATAAAGGGTGCTCAGCCCTAAACCCTGAACCCTGAATCCTGCTGTTAGAACAGCGGGTTCAAACAGAAGTGGCTCCCTCGGCGAGCCGAAAGCTACAGCAGTGGTATGTATGCATGTATATATATATA